CCTGAACTAACACACCTCTGAGAGCACTTTCACTCTGTGCAGTAGGAGTTATTTATGTTCCTGGAAGTTCTTGCAGGGGAGAGACGTGGACTCTTTATCTTCGTATCTGCTTCCCCACCCACCACCGCTGTGTAGCCAGCACGGTGAGCAGGAGGTCAGCGCACACAGAGCCGGAGGGGGTGGCGGGCGGGGAGGCCAGGAAGATATAGTGTCACCAAGGCCTGCCTGCCCCTGGCAATAAGGGCAGAGCCACAGAGATGAGAGTCAAAACCACACTGCTAGTCCTGGGAGGACCAGGCGGGAGCATCCTACTAAGTCCCAATGACCTAAACTGGAACAGGAGGCCCTGGGGACAAGGAACAAGGGCAGAGAACAGAATCAGGGTAAAGAGGCAGAGCAAAGCTCAAGTGGCACTGAAGCCTATAACTTCTCGGTTGGTTGACATGCCCAAATGTTAACACTGGTTAACATGCCAGTTAACACTGGTGAACACAGTGGAGCCAGCAGCTAGGGGTTAAGTGATGTTGGCTGTGACACTGAGGGACTCGAGAGGCAAGAGCATTACAAATTTAAGCAGTGATCATTTATATGAAATAAGAGTCACAGATGGAAGGGACTCTTAGATCTGTAAGAAACATGAGGAATCACATGGTCTAACATTCCCAACTACATGGGGGAGCTAGGGGTACAGGATGAAAGGGCCCTTGCCCAAAGTCATTAAGTCAGGACAAAACCAGACCTAGAACTCAGGTCTTCTGACTCTGATTTAGACCTTGTCCCTCAGAGGCTGGCTGTCCACCTTCAGTAAAGCAGGTCTCCTGATGGGTCCACTAGCACACCAGGTGCCCAGCTCTACCTGCTTCAGAACCTAGAGCCCTGCCGTGCCCACTAAGTGAGCACAAACACTTCTGTCCAACTTAAAATGCAGGCTTCCACCTACAGACGGGACTTAGAGCCAATATTCCACAGGGAATGTGCAGGTAGCAGCCCCACGTAGGGCTTGGAAAGCAAAAGGCTGTGTGGTGCGTGCTTGCTGTCAAGAAGCAAACCTGTCCACACACACTCTGCCCTAACACATGCAGGGGGGATTAACCCCAATCGCTGGGCTACCCCTGGAATTTTCCAAGCGTGGCTAGAGAGGCCCAGGACCTGAGGCAAAGCTGACAGTGCATGAAACACACAGTCGTCACCACTGGAAGAGCATTAAAGGAAGGCCCACCAGGACTAAAATCTCAAAGTCTTTCTCAGGCCAGAAATGAGACATAACCCAGAAGGAAAAAAATGAGACTCTCAGGGAATCAGAAACCCTGAAGCCCAGACTTCCAGAACTTTCACCCAGGGGAGGATACACGTGTAAAAGGGCATATGCAACTTCACTTCATCTATACAGAAAATATGTGAGCTCTGAGTACTTCAAGTCTAAGTCCCCGCCCCACTGTTTAGCTACAGTGTGATCCCAGGCCAGTGACTCCCCAGTCTGAGCCTTTGTCTCCTTACTCGTAAAGCAGTGATTATAAGCTGTGTCAGGTTTACTGTGATATATAAAGCATTAGCACACGGCCTGGCCCGTAACAACCACCGGCACAGATAACATTGTGTTTATTTGCTTTCTTCTGCTCACAGGAAGGGATGTTTATAGCACAGTGCAGCTCTATCTACCTGTGCTTTCCCCTCCTGCCAGGCTGTCCCTCTGGACCTGTCTGGACAGACATCCTGCCTGAGGCCCCAGCCTAGACAGCTTTCGCCTCCCTCAGCTTATCCTTTGGACATAAAGAAGGCAACTGGTCAGCTATGGGCCACAATCAGGTCCTTGAAGATCTGGAATCATCAACTTAGTTCAAGGCTATTTCTGTCTCCCCAGGTGTCCCTGAACTTCCCCGGCCAAGCCTCTGCCAGGGTAACACTTTGCCTTTTCCAAGGTGAACGGGGCTTGGAACGGCATTTGGGCTTGACATTTCCTCCTAGCAGTTTATAGCTGCCCACACTGGCTTGGCTCTGGGCCTCAGGCAAAGAGGGATCTTGTAGGTCAGACCTGGACATCAACAATGGAGATAATTCCCAGCCCCAATTTACCAACAGAAAACAGCCTGGAGTCCGAACCTGTAGTGAAGCCAGGGAGTATACACACCAGCCACCAAAGACTGGAGCAGAGATGGAGGGGAGCACTAAACGGAGCTGCCACGGGCTCAAGCCGACTCCTCAGAGTGCCCTGCTAAGAAGCTAAATAAGTCACATCAATGTCAGGCTCTCACAGTGCTGCACATTGTGGCCACCACAGGTGTTAAAGGCTTCAAAGGGGAAGAAGAGAAAAGGCCCAACAATAACTGAGTTCCTGCCATGTGCCAAGAACTTTGCAAGTAATCCTCATTAATGACCTTCTGTGGTAGGAGTTATCATCCTCATCTTGCCAATAAAACCAGAGACTCAAAAAGCTTCATGAAGCCCTAGCTGGTTTGGCTCAGTGGATGGAGCGTCAGCCTGTGGACTGAAGGGTCCCGGCTTTGATTCTAGTCAGGGCACATGCCCAGGTCACGGGCTGGATCCCCAGTAGGGGACATGCAAGAGGCAGCCGATCAATGATTCTCTCACCAATGATGTTTCTATCTCTCTCTCCCTCTCCCTTCTTTGAAATCAATAAAAAAAAAT